ATTTCAAACCAAGATGGTGAATTAAAAGTTTCCTCTTCCCATTTTGGGGGACTTCCTATTTTCTCCATTCATTATCTTCTTCTTGGAAAAAGCTACTTTGCAACTACATGGTATATAGCTAATACATAACTGACAATCTAACCCATATGCCTGTCCACAGGCCCACTAACCCATGTATTGTATTTAGTGTCATGCTGAGCACTTAATATGTTATCTGATAGACAATTCACAACTCCATGAATTTGCTATTAGTAGCTCCATTTTCCGGATGAGAAACTCAGGGAGAGGCATACGAAACATGGATCTCTCTTGAAGCCACATAGTAAGTAGTAGAGTCTGACTTTGAACCCAGCTCTTCCTAAATCCCTAGGCGGTGCTTTCAGAAGCACTTTACTGATGGTTTTTAATTTGTCCCAGTATGCTTTCGTTTCCTCTTTTTCACTTTCAAATTTTTACGTATCAGATAAAATTCCTCTGTGGCTCAGTAAAGTGCTAGGTACTAATGAGGGTAGTCCAAGGGGCTTAAGCTCCCCTTTGTTGACAAAATACTGTATTTGAAAATTTGTTAGTTACAGAGGCATTAAAGAATGTTTACCTCTAACTTCCATAATATTACAATATCTCTAATAGGTAAATACAAAGTTTCCTTTTATTTAAAAAAGAGCAGACAAAGAAAACATTTTACACACACATACACGTGCTTTTTTTTTTTTTTTTTTTTTGTCTTTCCTCTTGAGTGATGCAACAGAGACCTCTTCTGGTCAAGAAGCAGAAGTCATAAGTGAAAAAGCAACTTCGAAAAAGTTAAGATGGAGAGAATTGGTAAAGGAGAAAATAGAATACGAAATAAGCTTCCTATTGACTTTGGAACTCTGAGAAGCAGAACAGAGAGAGGAGTGTATTCCACACATGGGGGGCAGCGTGTGCAAGAGTGAAAGTGCTCCTTCATTTCTAATGATAAAACTTGTTAAAGATAAAAAGGCTGCAAATAATGTATAAAGATACGAGGCTATAAATAGGGATCATTCATAATTCCACCATCCAGAAAAAACAAATAAACCTGTATACATTTTGATGCACTGCTTCTAGCATTGTTTTCTGGTTATATACATTCATTATATACATTATAATTGAAAACCTTTTTCAACCATAAAACCGGGTAAATTCTGATCTTTTCAATTTAAAAGAAGAAAAAGCTGTCTTCTGATAGCAGGCTTCTAAAGGTAAATAATTTACAAGGCAGAGAAATTTCAGTGAGCATCTTAAACTGGACCACATATTGCCAGGGCCCCAGTTAATGCGCTGAGATGCACGAGCTTGGTGAGTGGAGTGCCGGTTCCATTCTGGCCACTGCTCGCCTTTTCTGCCAGGCCCCCCTGTGTGCGGCACACCTATACGCCTGCTAAGGCCGGCCCCTCAGCCTGCCAGGAAGCGAATTAGCAATGGTCATATCACCAATATCCTCCATAGATAAAAATATATCCATTGGCATTTTTAACCTTGGAAATCCCAGACATTTCATAATCACTGGGACTAATCCACCTCGATTGAAATGCAGCACAATATTCTGCTCTCTTGTGAGGAAATTTACAGCTTCGAACCAACCCATGGTGGATGGAGGAGGAGGGCTTTGAAAGGAGGAGGCCAAAAAGAACTTACATTTAGGAGACAAAAATTAAGTGATGGACTATCTGACAGATATTTCAGATGTAACTACGGGGTCACCAAAAAGGAAAAACTAAGTAGGAAAACAGAATAATTGCTGTGCTAGGGCTATAAGACTGTCACTGAGTTGGACCTCACAGAAGATGAATGGGTTAACACAACTGAAAGTGAACAATATATTCAAATGTTTTCGTAAGGCAAGAACCAAGCGTTGTACATTGTTCAGTTCAATTCTTTATTTGAGATCTTTATTTTATTGCTTTCTTTTTTTTTTGAGAGTGAGAGACATCAATTTGTTTTCACTCACTCGTGCACTCATTGGTTAATTCTGTTATGTGCCCTGACCAGAGATCAAACCCACAATCTTATAGTATCAGGATGACATTCTAACAAACTGAGCTACCTGGCCACGGCAAGATATTTTTCAATTTAGTCCTAGAGATGCATCAAGACCCTACTTAGGTGAGCTTCTGGAGTTCAAGGTGCCCCTGCAGAGAGCTTAGTCTCCGTATTATATCCTACAGCATCCCTGTTCCTCATTTCTGTGAAGCTTCAGGTGTCACCTCAGATTTTAAATTCTAATTAAGTGGTATAAACATAAAGAAGTATTTTAAATTACAACTTGAAGACCTGGCTGAAAATTATCTCATTACCAGCTGAATTTGCCTTTGTTTTGAATGGAAGAGAAAGCAACAGAGAAATACTTAACAGGAACACAGTCTTGTCAATGTCTACTCTTGAGGAGAAATGGGTTTATTGTCTCAGGTCATTCTTAGAGGTAAGGTAGGATTAGGGGACTACAGGAAGTACAGATCTTTTTTCTTTATTTGACATAGAACATTATATTAGTTTCAGGTGTACAACATAGTGTATAGACATTATATTTCTTATGATGTGATCACGATAAATCTAGTAACCATGTGGAAGTAAAAGTCTTCAACTCATCCTATAGTGCTTTTAGAAATTCAACACTGTCTGCTTTTTATTTTTTTAATTCAGATGTATAAAATATTCTGGAGTAGTCTCAGCTATTTCTTAGTCTGAATTAAGTGGTAGAATGACACAAATATATAAATTAATATTTCACTGTTTTTCTTCCTCACATACTTTTGATGAGTGTCTAGTACTTGTCAGATGAGGAGATAGGATTATTCTAGTATCTCTTCTAAATCTTCTGACTGGACTTTGTTTTATTAGAGAACTTGGATCTAAAGGACCACAGGATTTGTTAGAACTATTGTTTAAAGTGTGAGGCTAGAGTTCTACTTCTAGCATGACTATGTGAGGTACTCTGTTTGCAGACTCGCTCTCCAGAAAAATTAGTGATAATTACACAACTGGGGGGTGGGGGCAAAAAACCCCCCTGAATTTATTTGTGAAAAGTTGTGTATTTATTCTTAGATGTTTTAAACTTCAGTCACCTTCAAAATACTCTCCATTTGATGCAATACACCCATCAAGATTTTTTACCATTGCTCAAAACAGTTTTTGGACTCTTGGGTTTTGATATGTTTTAGTGCTTCTGCTATTTTTTTGTTTCACCTCTTCCACACTGGCAAAAACGTTTCCCTTGGAGGGATTTTTTCATTGGGGTGGGGGTGGGGGACAAAAAACAAAGTCGGGGTGAGATCAGGTAACTAAAGTGAGTGGGCACAGGGGTCATGCTGTTTTTTGGTCAAAAACAGCTGAACACTGAGTATGTAAATCACCCATTACACATTGAGTCTTCAAAAATAAATTCACTGAGGCCAAATGCAGCCTCTCAAAACGCCAGCTGCTACACTGGTACGGATGTGTTCCTAGAACACTCACCTAGCCGGGGAAGCCTGTACTCCAAGGGGCCTGCCCTCCAGAAGATAATTCTGGGTTTTGGGGCGGTCCCTCCTGTAAAAGGACAACCATACGAAGTCTCTAGAAGTGGTCCTGGGTGCATACAGAAAATGAAGAAACATTTACTTATTTGAAAACATTTACTAAAGGTCAGTGAACATTGAAGTGTTTGAACCAGGCCCTACCACTTCCCTCCCCCTTCCCAGCCCCCAGTGGAAACGCTCCTGCAAACTGATGCAGCCAAGAACACAGGGCTCTTCCCCCTCAGCTTCTGACTGGAGGGCTATCTTCCCAGGAGGACCAGAATATCAGTAGTTCTCACCCTGGCCCCAGCTGCATGTTTCTGAGCCTGAGTTCGAAGCAGGTGTGGCCAAGAGGTGGGGGCTCCCTCTTCTGCGCAGCCCTGGTTTGCGGGGATAAGAGCTCTGCCCTGGTCACGGAGCCCCTGAGAATACAGGGCCTCAATGCCCTTGGCCCAGATCTTAAGGTGGCGGCTCCATGCTGGGAGAGACAAGCCGAGAAAACCGGAAGCTACTGTCACCCTACTCCACAGAGTGATCAGCTTCTAGAGTGGGGGTATCACTTTGAAAGTGTGCCGTTGTCCTTTGGCCATGGCTCAGAGATTTTTTTCTGGGAGAAAAAGCAGGCCTTAAACTATAGAGCTCCTAATTTCTTCCCTGAGGAACTGACTTCATTTGCAAGCGTGTATGGAGAAGTTCAAGCCTAAGGTTACTTTAAAAAAAAAAAAAAGGTTGTGGTGAAGGGCAATTGGAGATACAGGCTGAATTGTAGGGTTTTACCTCAGAGAACCAGGGAAAGGGACAGCTAGGAGGAACCTGCCTGGAGTCAGAACAAATCATACTGACACTGGGAACCATTCCTTCAAAAGAGCCCAAATTTGATGGGATTAGTCTATGGAGAAATCCTTTCCCTAGGACATTATTTAAAATAATAGAGCAAACAGTCTGTAATTAGTAGAGCTTATCCGCTGGGCAGTGGTCATGAAAGGCGTCAGAAGGAACCTTGCCAAACACTTCTAATTACCATGTTGATTAGTTACCAGTGTCCAGAGCCCTGGGGAGGGGGGCGGGGCCGTGCTTAGGAAGAGGCTTTCGAGGGCAGTCAGAAAAGTAGCTAAAATAATTCCATATCCTGCAAGTCTCTATCAGTCTGGCTCACTTGACATTGAGAATTGGAGAGGATGAATAATAAACATGGAGTGAGAAGGAGAGAAAGATAGTGTGATGAGGTTAGGCAGGGCTGGATCGGTCAGCTCTTCCTTAGCTATTTGCTATGAAATCAATGAGACAGTTTTTCTTGCTCTCCCACTTCAGCTCAGATGTTCGGAGCCTATTTCCATTCTAAAGCTTTTATAATGTAAACAGTACGCAATTGACTTAGAGCCTTTAAGCTGAACCTGTCGCTAAAATATAAATGTACAATGGACTTAAACATTTATGAGAGAGAGAGCAATTGCAACACTTCATCACTTTATTCTTCTTTCATCAAACCAGTCGTCTCCTGAAGCCATGGGAAATCACTGTGCTTTGGTATTTGGAGAGAGGTGAATGCATAGGCATATCTGCAATTTTTATTTCTGGTGGGCTTTTTTTGGAGACAAGTTTACGATCTTCCCCATGGCAAAGCCTTTCACTGTGATTCAAGAACAGAGAGTCTTCTAAAGGGCCAGCATGGATCCCACACACTCTGGCATGCTAAGAGAAAAAACAAACAAACAAAAAGCCCCCCTACTGTGTATGACCCTGAGCATCACTTTATTAGAATAAAATGTCAGTTGCCTGATAGTTTTTCTAACTGCCCCTGTGGAGAAGGAAAGTCTAGTGGACAGAGCAACACCCCTTCTTCAAAATCAGTGCTTCCTCGCCGGCGTCTTCGGTGGCCAGGAAGAGCGGGGTACACTGCAGACCATAGAGAGAAACCTGTACGAGTTAACCTGGCTGCGGCCGGCCAGCCGCGGGGTCCGGGTGAGGAAGGGAGGCAAAGCTGCTTCCCCTAGGCCTTGCCCACGATCCCCTCAGCCCCCGGACTCGGTCTTGGTTCTGTGAGTTGGTGTGTAGGAACCCTGAGCGTGGGGTCACCGCGCTCTCAACCAGTTCCAAGCCAGAGGCAAAGCCTGAAACGGGCCCTCTGGGAAGTGAAGCCTTTGTCCCAGAGGTCACCACCCGGTACCCTGGGAATCTGGAGCGCTTAGCTGTGGCCAGGAAAGGGCGGGGTTGGAGGGCAGGGTGACCCTCCCGTGAGCACTGGCACAGGTTGCGAGGTATAAGGACTCAGCGCCCCGGAGAAGCGCTTGTTAAGCATCACAGTGGCCAGGGGGTGGTTTCCGCATCCACATGTGTATGGGCTGTTAAAAAGCACCTTTACAGCACCGAAAATGTGGTGGCTTGTGAAAGAAGAAGCAGGTGCTGACGCAGGGATGCTTAGAGGCAGGGACCAGCTTCATGGTCTACCAACCAACTCCGTGGGAGGCAGCCTCAGATTCGGTGTGTTCGTTTTCCTGCGCTGATTTAAAGGATAAGGCCACTGCGGAGCGCTGTGCCCGAAGGTGGCGCGGTGCTACAGGAGCCTCTGAAAATGTATGAATGAAGTCGAGGCCTTGTTTGGAACGGGTAAATATCAATCTGTCAGCTCTTTCATCCATCAGAAGAGAGCACTTGGAAGAAGAGCCAACTTGGAAGTTTTATGCAATAATGTAACTGGAGAATGATGTTAGCCGTTAACATCATCCCCTCCTGCCCTGGCCGGTGTGGCTCAGCTGGTGGGGCGTCCTCCCAAAGTGAAAGGTCACTGGTAGGAGCACATGTCTGGGTTTCTGGTTGGGTCCCCAGGTTGGGGCACCTGTGGGAAGGAAGGTGGCCATTCAGTGTTTCTCTCTAATAAAAATGTTTCTCTCCCTCTTTTCCCCTCTCTCTAAAATAAAAATAAAATAAAATTTAGAAAACAAAATCATCCCCTCGTTCCCTTGTGTGTGTATGGGGCTAAAGCCTTCTCCTTTCTTGGACATGAGAGAAGTGTCTGAGAAAAGCTGTCACCAATTGTAATTGTTTTGAAGGACAAGTTAAATGTTTATAAGTTAAAGGATAAAGGCATATTATAAACTCTTAAAAAAAAAAGGCAGAAGTTAGATTCTGAACTTTAACTTCACTACTATGTGACCTTGTACAACTTGCCTCCATGAGACTCAAGTCTCAAGTTTTCTCAAAAATAAAATAGAAATTATTAAAGCATTCTGTGAGTCCTTTACATGTGAGCAAAAAAACTTTTACCATGTGAGTAAAAAACTTTTGCCAGCTACTAAATGTATTAAATAGATAGAAAGCATATCGCTGCTACTGTCGCTGCTGCTGGATAAATAAGAGCTACCTCAGGTTATTGTCTTAAGTATACATCTCTTTCTGGTTGTTCAGTACTGCTGAATAACATTCTGGCTCAGTCTTTAATGTAGCCCTATCTCTGCTATGCTGTGTTTTCCTTTTTATGTTGTTAAATAGTTATATTATCTTTTGCAGAAATAGTGGTGAAAGTAAGTAGAAGGAAAGAAAGCACAGCTAGCATTTACTCACTGTACATTCACTTCATCTCATTCTTATTTTCACTTTTACTCTGTAAGGTAGAATGTTCTGTATGTCAGTCACTAATTACATTGAAAAAATTGTTAGGAAGATTGTTAAGTAAGTTGTAAAAGTGAAATAGTTATGAAAAATTATGCTGAATTATAAAGAGTAAGTTCAAGGATAAAAAATGTTTTGATACATTCATAACAGTTCTTCATTATTGACTTCAACTCGAAGTTTACACCCTGTAGTTCTAGTAGACAACAAAGACAAAATTACTACTGATATTGTCACTATGCTAAAGCTACTTAGGATGCTGAAAATGACAAAATGACTCAATTAGCCACTAAATTATATGAAATACAGCCTAATATTAAGATTGTAGAAAGCTTTAATAATCATATAAATATGGTATGTCTGTTATCTGACTCTTGATTTCCTTAGTGCTATCTTTGTTATCCAAATATCACATAAAATACATATAAAATAATCATCTCAGGATAAATGACAGCTTTATTACATTGTATGTGTGCATTTTATAAGAAAATAATTGAGTCATATTTTTAGGACATGTATTTTTACATCATAGAATAGTCATATTTTTTTAACGTCATCTCTGTCTTGGCAAAGTATATTCTTATTGAACGTTAATTGCTTATCTATTAGAAATTTGCAAACTAGCGATACACATTTGTTTCTAAGAATCCTTAGTTGGAATCTCCTCTTGTAGTCTGATTATACTATTCTCCTTTAAAGAAACAATTTACCTTTTAACAAGTGAATGGTCAGTATGAATTTGGAAAGTGTTTTGAAACTACTGACTGAATAGGAGCAGGGAATGGGCAATGAGTCTTATCTGTAAATCTAGCCCAACTGTTCCCATAGCTCTCAACCTAAATATGCAGTGCAACTTTAAAAATACATGCTCTGTACTGTAGCTTTAATATTAATGGGCCCTAATTCTGATGAGCTTCTTAATTGTGTGGAGAAAAAGGTAGACATAGGGTTCTGAAATCTTTCAGTGTGTCCATTTTTAGGATTGTAATTGGGTTATTTGACTAGATATTGCTATTTAAGTTTCGTTTGCAAGTTCGTGTGTAAGTACATCAAATATTTTTGTCAGAGAATAGAATGGTATTTGCCAGGACCTACCTGGGAGGAGCTTAAAAATGAGATGTAAGTAAAAGGGTACAAATTTTCACTTATAAGAAGAGTAAGTTCTGAGGATCTAATATTTAGCATGGTGACGACAATTAATAATATGGTATCATGTACTTGAATGTTGTTAAGAGTAGACCTGAAGCCTTCTCACCAAAAGAAAAGAAGAGTTCCTACGCGAGGTGACGGACGTGTTCATTACATGACCCTGGCCATCACTCCACAACGATTATCAAAACCTCCCATTGAACACTTTAAATGTATGCAGTTACATTTGCCCATTATTCCTCAGTAAAGCTGGAAAAAATACAAAGTAAGTTTTAAAATAGCTTTTGTGTAATAATTGTGCCTATTCATTATATTAAATAACACAGTACTTTTTATTATAAATATTTATAGGAAAATACCTTCAGATTTATACTCCTGAATTCCATACTTTCTTTCCAAGGCATAACGTAGTATCTCGGGATCATCCCTTGCTTTAATGAAAATCGTGGCAAATGAACCTCACTACTCCTGATTAGGAAGGCAAGGAGAAAAAGATATTTTGTGAGTTAAATACAATCATTTTTGTATTACTTTCTAGGGAATGGAGGCAGTTGTGTCCTGTCCATGAAGTTGGGACCCTGCTTCTGCAGGACAGAGAAGTGCCATTGTTTAAAGCTCCCCTGATCGATAACCAGCCCATTAAATACCTAAGTATCACCAAGATCAAGAGTCAGGCCTGGATATCTGTACCTCCAACTGTTTGGGGGCCTTTACAAGTTGCTCACCATGTTCAATTTAACCTGATTTTCAGGGAAAAGACACAGCACCATCATTTGCCTCAGGCCTATCCATTGCCTAAAGGAATCCCTGGCCAGTCACAAAAAAAAAAGGTACCCAATTTAGCTCCTGAATTTAGTACGTACATGCTATACACTCAGGTCAGATTTTCTTTCCCTGCAGACATAGTTTCCCTCTGGAACATAACGCTGTCTTTATCCGTACCAGGAGGAAGCACAGAATTATTGTCCTCCAAAAAAAAAAAAAAAGAAACAACAAAAAACCCAAGCCCACAAACCCTTCAGTACTCACTTATTATCAGGTTTATGTGACTTCTCATCAGAAGAGTTGTTGGCAAGTTTAGGTAGGAGAGGGCAAGTGTCTTTTCCTGAAGCCATCACTGCCAGGAGTGGTGGGGATTCTCATATAGAACTTCACTAATCCACTAGTCTAATTATGATGACATGGCTGGCTCAGAGGTAACAATGTCCTGCTAACTTCATACCAGCCCATTAGCAGTTGATTAAAAGTGTAGGCCTGAGACCTGTTTTCAGTGGTTATTTTATACCCCTCTTTTTTTTTTCTTGGAGAACAAAATTTTGTTCTAAAAATAGATTTCAATAACAATGAAATGGCAAAAGTTGGTCATTATAATAAAAAGTAGGAAGAATTTGCTTTAAATTTTTTTTCTGAAAAAAATACAAAATCGTCACTGTAATATACTGCCAAGTCTCATTTATCTATATTTGAATTACTCATTTTATGAATTATCCAGGGAAATTTAAAAATCATTGATTAGATTCTGCCCAATAGTTAGATATACATCTGGATTGCTTTTATCTCTAAGTAAATACATTCTTAAGGAATGCAAACAAAATTGAACATTTTACTTCATTAAACATAATTAGGAAGGTAAATTTATGCTTAGGAAATGTGCTCTAAGGCACACTATTGGGTTGAATCACCATTTCTCTCAATTTTTGCACATAACCCAAAATGGCTGCGGTTTACTTTGACTAATCTAAGATAAAAATACTGTCAGTATTTAGTGTGACTAAATGCCACTTTTGTCAAAACTTGACCTGAGTTTTGAGTGCCAGAATATAAACTGTGGAACTGAAAACACTGCTAAATATGTTGACTAATACTCGTGTCCTGGTGTCCCAATAACTGTGTCTTTTCTCTCCATTAACACATGTGTGAAGCTACCTGTCATCAGCAAGGGAGGAAGGGGAGGACCTGAGGAATATGCAAGTAAGGAAGCAGGAAGTTTCCTGTCTTAAAAATTCCCATTTAAAGCATCACAGGAATTTATACCGAAATACATTCGTGTTCTAGTATACAAATGCAGTTTTCTCAAAGCTTTCAGTAAAATCTACAGAGCAAAGAAATGCAACATTTTTTATCCTGTAAAAGGTTTAGTAGCTAGAGGGGAGCTCCACAATCCTTTTGCTTGATGAACAGATCATTAGTCTGTATTTCTGACAAGTAGAGCTCTAAATATTGTTTTAGAAATCACATATGGGGCTTTTATTTTTAAAGTTAGTTAACACAACATTAAATATTTCTAGCTATTGAAAGCAGCTCTATGTCTCTTTAAAAATTCACTATGTAATTAATAGCTGAATATGAAATAAAGCAATTTCCAGTGGCGATGGTAGTCTCAAAGTAGCAAATCTAACTTCCTATTTAATACTAACAACTACATCTTTAAAACATTATCCTGTTAAATATTGCAATTTGCTGATATTACACAGAGGAAAAAGAGATAATTATATCAACTACCATTGAAAGCTCAAATGAAGTTATTAGTAAAAATACAGGCTGTCCGGTGGCTCGCTAAAAGGGCTATGCCCTGGCATTGTTTCTTTTACTCTATTTTTTGGGGGGGGGTATGTGTGTGAAGGGGGTGCATTTTGTTCCTAAACCAAATACTAAGCTTTAAAACATAAAATACTGATGCTTCCTGAACAACTAAATTATGCTTAAGATCTGGTCTACTCAGACAATTTCTGCTGTGATACATTAGTAATTCGGATATACCTGGCTCCGGGGAGCACTGCTCTTTGCGTGAGCGGTCAAGATGATCAGCACCCTGAGGGCCGTGACAGCTCCTGACCTGGAGGCCCAGCCAGCGTTATGCCCTTCCCCGATGGCTCCCAATAGCTGGCCTGATTTTCCTCTTTATGTACTGCATACGGTTGATGTGTCCCCTTTACGTTAAGCCCAGTTAATTAGAAACACATTTTAAAAATGTGAATCACATTTGCTTAATTCAATCTACCTCTTAATATTTTAGTTACATTATACTTTAGATTTCAAAACCTCATTTAAAAAATTTGAGAGAAAGGGAAACGATTTTGTTGTTCCACTTATTCATGCACTCATTGGTTGCTTCTTGTACACGCCCTGCCCAGGGATCAAACATGCAATCTTGGTGAGTCAGGATGATGCTCTGTTACCTGGCCAGCGCCAAAACCTCATTTTAATAAAGTTACAAGTGAGGATGAGCACCTAAATGACTAAAACAGAGGTGGAGGGCTGTTACTGTCAATCTTGCTAGACAGCAAATAGGAAAAATGTTAGGCTGAGTAGAAACAATCACTGCAAAATATACTGTCTGGCTCACTGAGTGTTAACTGAATACCTATCTGGCAGGTTTAGATACCTTATCCTTCGACCTAGATACATAGAGAGGTTTAGAGATTTTGACAAAACTTTAGGAACCTTAAATATCAAATTGTTGGTTTCCATATATATGTTAGTACGCAATACAAGCCAGAAATCTGTTCCAAATATTAAGGAAACTACTGTTGAATAAAATGAAGGTGGAGGTGGGGCGAGAAGGGGAAAGGGACAGGAACAATCTGTTTAACGACGTGGCCTCTCAGGCGTTAATGCTCATCAGAAACTGTAACTTTCACTAGAAAAATCAGCACTGTTTATCTGAAGATGTGGCATTTAGATTTCTGAATGATTATCCTTCCTAAAGAACTATACCTTTTAAAACCACCTCTCATAAATAATCTCAGGGCCAATATTCAGTTACCTATTTTAAATATTTTTCTTTCTTTGGTTATAACTTCATGAAAGCATATTTAAGATGGAAAAAAAAAGTCACTTGAATTTCATTAAGGACTGCCAAAACTAATTTTATTTTTGCATTCTTTATGAATACAAAGCAACCAATAACGATTTTCCTCTTCTTTCCCCACTTAAATCCTTAAATCCAACTTCAATGACCATGTATTCAGGAACTACTGAGTTCAAGTACATTGCCTGGAAAGAATAGTTTGTAATTGCGTCCTACATATTTTTGCTTAATTTATTTTGTAAACTATAGTCAACTCTTGGAACATCTTAAGTAACCTACCTTTAGAAGGTTTATTCCTCCTTCAATAAAAATGAATAATTTGAAAATGCATGCAGATGTGACATTTGTAATACTTCCTTAACATAAGGTAAAACAGTCTTAGGCAGGCCACCATTGAAAAAATTAAATATACATGGTAATCACACTTGTTGGTTCACATTCAATATTGAGTATATGACCAAGTTAGTGAATCAAAAACAAAGTTAAATTAGAAACAACAAAAAGAGAAGACAAAACAAAGTTAAAGTTATGAATCAGTACATCTTTGAAGAGCTTCTGCTGTTTTGTTTATTTCTGGACAAACAAACAAGTGGAAAAGCTATCAGTATAAACCTATCTGAATTTTAATCACTTCTTAAAAACGCCTAAGAGTTCTTAGAACACAGACAAGCTAAATTTGGATGCATTTGTAACAGTTTAAAAATTTATGTCTCATTAAGATTTTTTAATGGAATGTTTTGAAACAGGTCATAATTCATTGCAAATATAAATCAGAAAAAGAACAAACCTTTGAATGGCATGTTATAATGACCTGGACAAAACTGATTATCAACTAGTTATAATTTGCACATGCAACAGACTGAGAAATTAAATGCTCTGCTACCATTAAATATTTTGCCAGACATGAGAAAACTGTAAATGCTTCTGTCAATTGCATTCATCTCATCATATATTCAATTTTATTTAAAACAAGAATACAGGTTTTTCTCTCCAGATTTTCATGTTTATCAGTGCAAAGTTAAACAAAGCAATTCAGTAGAAATGGTTTATTACAATATTATTTAGAAAGGTTTATTCCTCAAAATGTACTAAAAAATGTCCAGGTCATGGGAATGGTCAACCTCAATGGCTTCCTCTGCATCCAGCTTTTGTTCTCCATGTCCTTCCTGTGACTCATCGAGAGAAGCCAGGGCCTCATTTGTGTCACTCGCAAAAGTTTCTCGTGACGTATCATCATCTTCTTGAAAATTTAGACTTTTAATAGCTTGTTTCATCTTTTTCCCCAACAGTTGTGTTCTCCTTTTCCTAGCAGCTTTTTTATTTTCATATTCCTTTTGATTTTCAACGTAGAAAATGTCCTACAATAAAGGAAAAACTTTAGTAAATAAGAACTACCATTTATTAAAAGTTTGTTACTAGGCAGACTCTTTACATTATTTCCATTCCTCACAAAAACAAGCCATTATTATTAGACTCATAATTAGACAGAGTCCAAGATGTTAAACAAGTCCCCACTGCAAGAGGATAAAGCAAAGATTCAAACTCCACTTAGTGTTAGGTTGAGGGCCCATGCATATTATACCGTAACACATCATCTCTGAAATTAAAGATTTCTAAATGGAAAGATACAGTAGGAAAATCATATGATTTAGGATTTAAATGAAATAAAATTCATCACAACGAAACAGAAATCTTTGGAATAAAGATTTTCTTTGAAATACCTTAACCATATGTGATTGCACATACTAAGAAATTGAGTCATTCCTGAATTATGTGACTAAGTATGATGATGTAATCTACACAATGAAAGAACAATCCTATCCCTAAACAACATTACTGTCATTCATGTGTGCCAATGTAAATCTTTGTCAAAAACTTCTATTACAAGGCATAAAAATAAGTCAGCACTGGAATAACATTTCAGGATGCAGAAAAAGGATTCTATAGTATGAAAGTGATTCTTTAGTATTTCTCAGCCTTGGTGGTAGCGGAAGCTCGAGCCGGCTGGCTCTGCGAGGGACGGCCTGTGTGTCCCGCAGAGCGTTCGGCAGCACGCCTGGCCTCTGCCCACCACCACAGCCGCATTTCCCCCCCAGGCTGGGATAGGAAAACTCTCTCTAGGCATTGCCAAATGTCCCCTGAAAGGCAAAAAATTACCCGCGGATGCGACCTTTTCAGGTAGAAAATATATTACCATTAAAACAGTACATGGAGAACATAAAATAACATCTGGAAAACTTGTTACAGCTGGGTAAGTGTGGTTTCAGAGGGTACAAAAAAAAGTAGGTCAGGGATCTAAAGAGAAGGCCAAAATGACTCTTCTAAGACAGAGAGAGTCCAAAGGTTTAAAACAGAGGCTAGTATAGGC